GTACTCGGTGTACCTGGCCATCCAGAGCTCGCAGGCCGGTGGCGAGCCCAAGAGTTCCACCCCGGCCCAGCTGGCCTTCATGCGGGTGTACTGTGGGCCCAGCCCCTCCTGCCTGGTGCAATCCTCCAGCCTCTCCAACGCCCACATCGACTACACCACCAAGCCCGCCATCATTTTCCGCATCGCCGCCCGCAATGAGAAGGGCTATGGCCCGGCCACCCAAGTGAGGTGGTTGCAAGGTGGGTGTCGTTCGGGAGGCTCCTTGGGCAAGCATCATGTGAGGTGCGGTGACCCGGCTCCGAGCTGGACTGGAGAGCTTTACATGGGGGAGTTGAGGGGGAGATGACCTAGGGTGGGTGCTGTGGCGGGGTCTCGTGGGCACCTCGCCTCATTTGCGGGTTTGGGGAAAGCTCTCCCAGGGGTGTTTTGAAGTGAGATGGGGGACTATGAATTTCGAGTAGGAGGTACAAGGTGACGCCCAAGTCCAGGGGGCAGGGTGGGAAATGGATGCCCCAGGATGCCCTGTCGGGCTTTGCGCCAGTTCCCATGAGGCCAACCAGGGAGAACCATGAGGGCCTCTACCTGGGCCTAGGGCAACCGCAAGAGGTGGCGCACACAGGAGGGGCCGTCACTCTCTGCAGGCTTCTGTAGGGTGTGGGCAGGGTGCCCCTGTCTCCTCCACTCTTGTTCTCTTGGCCTGTGGGCTGCTGTGTGGCTGAAGTCGGCCAGCCCTCCCACCTCGCCGAGCTGCTTACCGCTCCATCTTTCCTTTCAGAAACCAGTAAAGACAGCTCTGGCGCCAAGCCAGCCAGCAAGCGGCCCATGTCCTCTCCGGAAATGTGAGCAGGAAGCCCCTTTTGGGAACCTTCTAAGGCTGGGGATAGACAGCTACTGGGAGGAAGCGGGGGTAGAAATAGTAGGGCTCGTCTCTTTCAAAGCATCGGTGGGGGCTGCTCACAGGGCGTGAGCTTGTGTGAGCTTGTGTGAGGTGCCGGGCAGAGGCCAGCGGTGAGGCCCACCTTTGGTTTCCCAGCCATCGTCAGGGCCCATGCTGATGCTCTCTCTTTCCTTTTTCTTGTCTTCTTCCAAGGAAATCCGCTCCAAAGAAATCTAAGGCAGATGGTCAGTGAGAGGCAGCTCCCCTGCACCTGGATTCTTCGCCAGACACCCCCCCCACCCCCCCCAGCCCCGCTTCAGGAACGCCACCTGCCAGGGCCCACCCATCCTACCCACCCGGCGCTCACACTTCACCCTCAGGAGCCACTGGCCGCCGCCACTCATTCTCTCTCCCTCTGTTTTTGAAATAATCTCAAGAAAGCACATTTTACCGTTGCTGTGGGAGGAAGCAGAAGGCAGAGCTGGAAGAGCAGTGAGCGAGTGAGGCAGTGCGCCCTCCCCTCCTCTCCTACCAGTGCCCTCCTCTGGGGGCCGAGCAAGCCCGGAACTTCGAGGCCCTCGAGGGGGCGAGGCGGACGCTTCGGATGAAGCAGCCGAGACGCAGGAACGGCACGCACGTGCCTCCAGCACGCGCACGCCTCTTGCAGTTTGTCACCTTGGTTCTGAGGGGGGGCAACCAAGGGCGGGAGGGGCTGCAGCATGGAAGCAGAAGAAAGGCGCCCCCCCCCCCAGCTCCCCTCCCCTGCCTCTGCTCCGAGAAGATTGGCAGGGCACCTGTGCACTCAATGTCCATCTGGTTCTATTTTCCTTTGTTACTTTTGGATATCCTGCCACCTCCCGGCCCTGGGCCTCCGCTTCGTCCAACCCCGTCTCAGCGGCCTTCGTACTCCCACCCCTTGCCCCTTCCTTCTTCTTTCCCAGTTAGAGAGCTAGAAAGGAAGGAAGAAGAAAGAAAGGGGGAGGAATGAGCCCGTGGTGGCCTGAGCAGTGTTCTGTGCAAATCTCCTGACTCCCAGCGGGGCGTAGAGTAGCCCCCACCGAGCCTGGCTTTGGCCCCTGGGTCGGGGCTAGGGGCCACACCACCAACTGCTGCATTTGTTGTATTTTTTTTAAGTTGGAATTGATGAAGTTAACATTTTTATTGTAATTTTAGCCTTAGTGTGTGGGGTTTTGTCCCTTTTTTTGTTGTTGTTGTTAGCTGTGTACAGAATGTGTATCTTTTTTTTTTTTTTTTTTTAACTTTTACTTTTTTCTCCTTGGCTAAGCCTTGGCAGGGATCTTTCTGGAAGAAAAGCTGGGGGCAGCTGGCACAGGAGAGGCGTGGATTCTCCCCTGCGGGCCTGGTGTTGGCTGCCTGGCCCAATTTCCTCTTGCTGGCCCCTGCCGTCTGCCCCTTTGCTTGTCCCCAGGCCTCTGGGACAAAGGAGGGGTGAGCTGTCAGACCTCACTCCCCGTGGGTGATCGCTCTACACCTGTAGGGTTGAGCTTGAGAGTCTGCTGGAGCCCAAAGTCAGGTTTCTGAGGAGGAGCAGGTCCTGGGTTCGCAGGGCTCTCAACATCCCCCCCCCCCCCCCCCCCTCGCCCCCCCCCTCCCCCCCACCAGCCCCCAGGCTCCCTCCTTGGCAAACTGGCGTAGAGTATCTGCCACCCTCAACTGCTGCTTCCTGCAGCCACCCCCTACGGGCAAAAGTTTCAAAAGGGGTGGGGTGAGGGGATGGAGGGCAACTCCATCTCAGAGAGCAGCCTGGGAGAGCAGATGCGTGGTGTCACCCAGGAGAGACCGCGGGGAAGAAGCAGGCTACCAACACCAGGTCTGTGAATTTGCAGGGCCATGGCCATCCTCCCAGGGCCAAACTTGGGAGGCTTGGGGCACTTCTTAGTGTGGCTCATGAGACAGCTTTCTGCCCCACACCCAAGCTTTAGGCACTGAGCAAGGCTCGCCAGCGGGTTGTGCAGAAGGATTTAAAGCGAGCAGCCAATCTTTTCAGACCCCCCCCCCCATCTCTGCCCTGGAGATGAGCTGCAGTGAGGGGCCCGGCCTCCGCAGACCCCTGCCACTGGCCCGCATCTTCTGGGGCCTCTGGTTTGTTGTATTATAGTATACTTCGCTGTGGAAAATGTCACGTTTAGTCAGTCACCTTGGAGCCCACTCGCCTGGTCCCGTTGTTTTCCCTGTCCCTTCTCCTGAGCGCCCTTTGATTTCTCTCATTTCTGAGAACAGTACACCCGTTCATCTATTGTAGAGTAACCCCCGTGACTCAATATTACCATAGTGCGATGTCGTTTTGTGCTATTTTGAACAATTAAAAGACTTTTTTTGAAATAACCACCTGCTCTTTTACTGTGTCCAGGACTCCCAGGGAGGAGGCTGGAGGTGTGACGCCACCACCCACCCCCGTGGCTCACCAAACTTTTAGGAGCCTCTTGCTCAAAGGGCAATTAGCAGGGTTCCCGATTGCCTCCCAAGTTTCAAGGCTCCGCCGAGGCGCACAGTCCTAGGGACTGAGCTGGGCCAGGACCTGGTTCCTCACAAAAGGTCCCACAGTAGCCATGGTTTAGAGGCCAAGGGGCTCCCTGGGCAGTTGCTGCCAAGTCCCTGTCTAGAGACCAGATCGCCTTCCCTCCCTTCCCCACCCAGAGGCCGGGGGACTGGGACAGAGGACTGGCAGGTACCAGCCACTGTCCTCCTCGGACGGGTGGGGAGGGCTGAGCTGGGCTCTTTGCACTGAGAGCTCAGGTCCCCCAGAGTGCGCCCCAGGACAGACCTGGGACGCCCATGGGGTGGTTCCTGTGTCTGAGACTCAGCAGGTGCTGCAGGAGTGGCTCCTCACGCTGCTGGCTCCCTCATGCACACGTCAGGCTCCAAAGAGAAGGAGCAGAACTTCTATTGAACAAACTCTGGCAGTCCAACTGGTGGTGGTGTTGCTAGCGTGGGTGGGATAGCTGGGGTTAAATGGATGGGGGCATGAGGAGGTCGTGCCAACCGGCCAGGAGGAGCCGTGCGGGGACGTGGGGCTCGTGCTAGGGACCCAAGGGGCGTGGGGAGATGTCCTCATTACCTTCTCATCCAGTCGTTCCATCTCTGCCCTTTGGGCGTGTGTGCCCACGCCATGCCAGCTCATGGCCACCTCTCCTGGGAAGCCTCCCAGGGCAAGCCTCTCCCTGGTGCTCACTCCACTGGGTTCAGTGTCTCATGTTGGGCCCTGTCCTGTTGATCATGATACCAGGAACCATGGCTCTGTTTTCCCCATGGCACCAGTTCTGATCTGATTTGGAGCCCAGTGGTCGGGGTGGGGGTAGGGGTGGGCACATGCCCTTCAAGTTGGAGCAGTAGGAGTGATGGCTGGGGGTGGGAGGGTGCCGGCCAGCCGGTGAAAAGGGTCCGTGTGGGGCTGGCCGCAGAGGGGTGGGGGCCTGTGCAGATCTGCCAGGTGTGTGTCAGATGGCCGTGTGGCACCCACATCCACCATCCCTCCACTCACCTGCCTTGAGGTACCAGTTCTCTGCCTTGGGATTGGCCAAGGCCCCATCCACTGGACCCAAGGCCAGCATGCTCATCCACAGGAACCTTAGAACCTTCCACATATCAAAAAGGCTTGTCCTTGGCTAGGCATGAGGGGGACAGTGCTGGAAAAGCACGGGGAGAGGCTGGGCGTGAAGGGATATATCATAACTAATGACATGCCTCTGTGAGCAGGGTGGGTGGGTATAAGCCCAGCTGGACCCAAAGCCAGGACCTCCCCTAAGCAAGAGCTGGGGCCACCACCCTCAGCAGCCCTGCCCTGCCCGGGCCCCTCCCCCACCACTCCCCCCAACTCAGTTCAAGGGTGGGGAGAGGTGGCTGGGAGGAGCAGATGTGCGGGAGCCAGGCCCGTGTTGCCCGCCCCAGAGTGCCCTGCCAGTGCACCCAGCATTTCCCATCAGGAAGATCTCGAGCCGAGGGCGCCCAGCAGTGGTCACTGCTGCAGCTCTGCCCTGCTCTGCGGCTCAAGGGTCTTGGCCAGCGAGCGTGGGGCGGTGCCGGAGCACGGGGGCGGAGCCATGCGAGCGCCAAGCCCCGCCCCCAGACTCTGCGGAACCTCCGGGAGGAGGGGGCGGGTGGGGCGCGGCTGGGTCAGCTGAGTGACAGTCACGGGACCAAGACCAGCTCTGTCTGGCTTCCTGGAGGAGACGGAAGGATGAGCGGGGGTCTCCGAGTGTGGCAGGCCAGTGGTGGGGCCCGTAGTGGGGAGGGTGTTGTCCTGGAGGATTCTCAGGACGGTGGGGTCAGTCCTGGGGCCGGGCCGGGCCAGAGGACAGCTCCGTGCAAGGGTGTGGGGAACCCTGAGTTCTGGGTTCTGAGGCCTGGGGGCCCAGGGGAGACGGCTCAGGCAGCCCTGGGTCCACTGGAGTGTGGGGTGACCTGGGGCACAGAGGAGCCTGTTGGGGAGGTTGGGACCTAGGAAGATGGGGAGGTCTGTGGGGAAGCTGTGTCTCCAAGTCCCGAGTTCCCCCCAGGACATGGAAAAGGAGCGAGAGGCCCTGCAGACCTGGAAGGAGCGTGTGGAGCAGGAACTGGACCGTGTGGTGGCTTTCTGGATGGAGCACTCTCACGACCAAGAGCATGGGTGCGCCTCGCCCTTCTGGTGCCCTCAGCAGGGGTCTTTGCCCCTCCTGAGCCCCCACCTCACTGTCAGCTGACTCAGATCTGCTGAGCCCAGCAGAGCAGTGGAGCCGGTGGATGCCAGGCCCCTTCCCCCCTTTGCTAATACTATGCATCCCACAGGGGTTTCTTCACATGCCTTGGTCGAGATGGGCAGGTGTATGATGACCTCAAGTATGTCTGGCTGCAGGGGAGGCAGGTAGGGGATGTGCCCAGGCTAGAAGCTCTCCCAGAGGCAGAAGCTGGAGTCAGCTTGGCCTGTCCTCAGTCTACACGCACAAGGCCGGTCATCTCCACACTCCTCCTCCCGTGACGGGGGCACCTAAGGACTCCTTCTCCTCCCAGGCCCGAGCACCCCCGCTGCTCCCCACTTCAGCCATATTCCCTCTACTCCCCCACAGGTGTGGATGTATTGTCGCCTGTACCGAAAACTGGAGCGTTTCCGCAGCCCTGAACTTCTGGATTCAGCGAAAGCAGGTGCCCCCTCCATGTCCCCATGTCCCCAGAGGCACCTCCAAGTTTACTCTAGTTCCTAGGGAGGTTGAGAAGCAGTGACGGGTCGGCGGCGGGGGGGGGGGGGGGGGGGGGGGGGGGGCGTCCTCACCTGAGTTCTAGCATGCCAACTTCCCAACCACCAGGTGGCGAATTTTTGCTGCGTTATGCCCGAGTGGCACCTCCCGGAAAGAAGTGCGCCTTCGCGCTAACACGGGACGGCCGCCCGGTCAAGGTGCAGCGAACCATCTTCAGCGAGTGTTTCTACACCATGGCCATGAACGAGCTGTGGCGGGTGACTGGGGAAGCGCGTTACCAGGTGTGTGGGAGGAAGGCTGCCTTATGAGTCTCCATGCCCTCACTTGAGCGGGACATGGCCACCTGATGCATTCCTGTTCTGTGTGCAAGCCTCCTCCCTGGGCTCTGTCTGCAGGCTGGGTCTGTTGCCAATGTCAGTCCTTCCTCTGGGCCCCCATGGCCCCAGGGCTGCTGGCAACACTCCCCTCATTGTGCTGTACTGTGAGGGGCGCCCCCTCCCTGCAGTCTTTACCTCTGATTCCACACACAGCAGAGAGAGACCAATCCACACCCGGCCCTGGCTCCTCCCCGGAGCCCCTTGGGCTTTCAGACCCGACCTCACTGCCTGGGAGTGGCCTGCACCCACAAACTGGGAGCCCCCCCGAGGCAGGGTGGGGCAGATCCACCCCTGCCCCCCCTCACCCAACCCAGGGCCGGGCCCAGAGGAGGCCCTTGGTGAAGGTGTCCCGTGAGCGGGTGGGAGGACGAGGCTCTCCCACCCCGGGTCAGGACCTGAGGGACCAGACTGCGCAGGGGGGCGGCCTCGGCCTGGGCCGCCCCTCGTCTCCCTTTCTCCCCACCCAGAAGGAAGCGGTGGAGATGATGGATCAGATCGTGTACTGGGTGCGGGAGGACCCGTCGGGGCTGGGCCGGCCCCGTCTCCCCGGGGCCCTGGCCTCCGAGTCCATGGCGGTGCCCATGATGCTGCTCAACCTAGTGGACCAGCTCGGAGAGGCGGACGAGGAGCTGGCGGGCAACTACGCGGAGCTGGGGGACTGGTGTGCCCAGAGGATTCTGCGGCATGTCCAGGTTGGGGGGGGGGGGACACCCCGGGGGGGGGGGGGGGGCATTCACCCCCCCCGCGGGGGGGGGGGGGGGGGGGGGGGGGGGGGGGGCAAGGTGACTCCCACTCCCTATGCCCTGGGGCACCTCCTTTGCCTACACCCACACCCCCAGCTGGGCCTCGGTGGCCCCCTTATACAGACGGGGGAGACATGGCGGGGGTGGGGGCGGGGAGCATGGCTGGGGCCCAGGAGCCTAGACCCTGGGAAAGGCAGAGGGCTCCAGGGAGCCTGCTGGGGCCAAGGCCAGGAGGGAAGGTGCCAGAAGCCCTGGCACGTTAGAGAGCAGGAAACCCAGCCAGACCCAAGTTCTTCCGGGCCTCTGTGGGCAGCCCAGGTGACCTAATCTCAGCCCCCATTCAGTGTGTCACCCTTCCCACCTCGGGGGCCCAGGCAAGGGTCAGAACCCATTCAGGCCCTTGGGCTCCTTCTCAAATCCACCCCCCCCCCCGCCCTGAGCCAGGCCTGCCCAGGACTGCAGATGACAGAGGGAAGGGCGGGCGGGCGGGCCTTTCTGGTTGGTGGGCAGGAGCTGAAGGCAGTTTTACCTTCTGTTCCTCCCTCCTCTGCAGAGGGATGGACAGGCTGTGCTGGAGAACGTGTCAGAGGACAGTGAGGAACTTTCTGGTTGCCTGGGGAGGCACCAGAACCCAGGTGAGGCGTAGAGTAGGCTGGGGGTGGCCCAGGAGGAAGGGACTGCTCAGTGTCAGGTTGTGGGCTTCAGATGTCGGGAGTGCCTGGGGTCTGCCTTCCTCCCTCCACCCCCCACCTGCTACTGAGGACCAGGCAGAGAAGCCGGGACAGGCCTCCCAGGCTGGGGTGTCAGCAGCAGGAAAGAGAGTCTGGGACAGACCGGGAGGGCAAGCTTTCTGCAGGAGAGTGGCTGTGGGGTGAGCTCAGAGCAGCTCCCACAGTTGGTGGAGGAGGAAGGGAGGCACCTGTGGTCAGCACAGGAGGTGGACCCCCCTGCCTGTGGAGGGGGGGATCCACTGCCTGCCTTAACCCCAAGCACTCACCAGGCCATGCGCTGGAAGCTGGCTGGTTCCTGCTCCGTTACGCCATCAGGAAGGGTGACCCCAAGCTTCGAGCTCACGTTATCAGCAAGTTCCTATTGTTGCCTTTCCGCTCTGGATGGGACCCTGACCATGGAGGCCTCTTCTACTTCCAGGATGCTGATGGCCTCTGCCCTACCCAGGTGGGAATGTGCCCAGGGCCACATGGTACTAGCCTGTTCAAGGCTTTCTTCCCTGGGAGTTGGGCGCTGTCATCACCCATTTCATGGAGGGGGACCTGAGTCTCAGAGTGACGAACTCGCCCAGTGTGACCCTGGTGGTAAACTCTTGACTTCTAGGCCAGCGGCCCTCAACCTCACGTGCAGACAATGCCACTTCTGAGACATCTGTCCCCTTCATCTTTGAAAGGCGCTCTGGGTGATTCTCAGGCGTCAGTAGCAGGAGCAGATTTGCACCCTTAGATCTGATGATGCCTCTGCTTGTGTTTTGATCCTGCTGAGATCTGCAAAGGGTGACTGACCCTGCCATCGGCAGGAGCTGGTGTCCATCGGGCTTTAGACAGGCTGAGCAGGCAGACAGGGTTTCAATTCCAGGGTTAAAGGGGAGGCCACCCCACCCTGGCCCTTTGGAAGGGGTGGCTCGGGGGTGCATCCGGGTCAGGAAGCTAGTCCCATTCAGAGGGGCCATTCAGACCCTCAGGGACATCCATCCCGTGATGAAGCTCCAAGTGATTGGGCCGGCTGGAGCCTGAGCCAAGATCTGGAGGATGGGCTTCGCGGGGCGGCAGAGGGTGGGACCCAGGGCTCTCAGACACCTGCCACTGCTCTGCTCTCAGCTGGAGTGGGCCATGAAGCTCTGGTGGCCACACAGTGAAGCCATGATTGCCTTCCTCATGGGCTACAGTGAAAGCGGGGACCCTGCCTTGCTGCACCTCTTCTACCAGGTGGCTGAGTACACCTTCCGCCAGGTAAGTGCTGCTTCCTGGCCCATAGCTCTCCCTGGGCCCAGCGTGGGTGCGGAGGGAACAGCAGGCAGCCATCCCTCTCCAGGCGGGCTACAGCCAGGCTCTCTTGGGCTGTGGGAGGAGGCTAGGCCGGGATGGGGAGGCTAATCCCACACTCCCTTCTCCCCCTCACTGGGCATGGTCCCTCAGCTGGCCTGAGTTCCTGGAGGTCTGGACCCGGGTGCCCTCTATGCAATCAGCGAAGCAGCTCCTGCCCCTCTGGAGCTGATGTGTGTGTGGGGGGGGGGAGACTATAAACAAGTAAACACACAAACATGTGGATGGCAATGACAGCTTTGGAAAATAGATCAAGGTCGGGACTGGGGGGCGAGTGGGAAGGAGCAAAGGCAGAAGGGGTTGCTCTGCACAGAGGAGTTACCTTGTGGGATTTAGGCATTACTGGGTCCTGGGGGGAGGGGAGGCTGTAGAGCACGGGCAAAGGCAGGGAGACAGGTGAGGATGGTGGCCTGGGGTGTGAGCTGCAGTGGGCAGAGGGGTCAGAGTCTGGGCTGGTCAAGCAGGAGAGGTCTGGGCTGGCCACGATCACTTGGGTTTCATAAGAATATAGATGATACTGTGAGTTGTGAGGCAAAGTAAGCTTTGGGGTACAGAAGGAAAAGAGAAGAGGGATTAGGAGGGCCCAGCAAAGGAGACAAGAATCAGTTGTGAGGTCGGAAGGAAGCCAGGGGTCCACCAGAGGCCAAGCACTATGAACAGAGTGATGTACTAGCTGCTGCTTAGGGGGCACCTTGGGCGTTGAGCCTAGTGATGAATGAAGATTCCTGGTGTGTTTCTAAAGTCGCGATCCACACTCCATTGGTAGATCCCAGCACAGGAGGGACCATATAGGTGGTCTTATTCCGGGGTATGTGGGCTTCGAAACCTGGGAGAAAATGACACCTTCATTTGCACTAACCTCTAATTGGAATCCAACGTTCACTTCCACAGTGGTATTAACAGTGCCAGACTTTGTCATCAAGAGAGATCCTAAATGTGTCCATAAGTACTGCGCGCGCGTGCGTGCGCACACACACACACACAATGACGACTTCCAAACACAGGAATCAGGAGACCTGAGGCTATTATCTTAATAGTGAATGAATTGATAAGGAACGTGTGTTAGAGGCCACCAGTTTTAACTGCATAAAGTGAAATTTAAAGAATACATTTTATTTGTTTAAGATTATTTATTTGAGAGAAAGTGAGCCAGAGAGCAGGAGTGAGGGGAGGGGCAGAGGGAGAAGCAGACTCCCCGCTGAGCAGAACTCTGGGATCATGACCCAAGCCAAAGGCAGATGCTTAATCGACTGAGCCACCCAGGTGCCCCAAGAATACATTTTATTTTTTAAGGAAGATTTATTTATTTTAGAGAGAGTGTGTGCGTGCCCACACGTGCAAGCGAAGGGGGAGGGTGGTGGGGTGGGAGGGGGCAGAGGGAGAGGGGGAGAGAGAATCTCCAGCAGACTCCTCCCTGAGGAAGCAACTTGCTACAAAGTTACATGAAGGTCAGCACCTCCACCAGGGTTCTCCTTGTTTCTTTAAGTCAGTTCTATTGAAGTACAATTTATACATAGTAAAACATATCCGAAGTGTTCGGTTCACTAAGATATAACAAGGTATGCATCTGTGTAACCACATCTGTGTATCTATCAAAATGTAAAACATTCTCGTCATCCCCAAACAGGGTGCTTCTTAGGCCCTCTCTGTAGTGTTTCAAGTCACAGCCTGTGGCCCCCCCCCCCCCCCCCCCCCGTTGTCTAGCTGCACACTCCCATCCCCAGGCAGAAAGAGGAAAAGCCCCAGGCCTTCATCTTTGTCCTGGATGCGGTCTCGCTTTTAAAAGCACTGATTCTGGGGCGCCTGGGTGGCTCAGTCGTTAAGCGTTTGCCTTCGGCTCAGGTCCTGATCCCAGGGTCCTGGGATCGAGCCCCGCATCGGGCTCCCCGCTCCGCGGGAAGCCTGCTTCTTCCTCTCCCACTCCCCCTGCTCGTGTTCCTTGTGTCTCTCTGTCAAATAAATAAATAAAATCTTAACTAAAAAATAATAAAAGCACCGATTCTGGAGCCACATGACCTGGGGTCAGCCCTGGCTCTGACCCCGCGGTAGGGGTGCGGTGGGGACAGTGAGCGCCCCTTTTACTGGCCCTGTGACACCTGGGAGACTCCTGCAGGCCCAGGCTGTCATTATCTTGTTATTCCAGTTTCGCGATCCTGAGTACGGGGAATGGTTTGGCTACTTGACCCAAGAGGGGAAGGTCGCTCTCACCATCAAAGGGGGCCCTTTCAAAGGTGAGTGGGGGACAGAAAGGGCGGGGGCCGCAGGGGCTTGGGGCAGTCGGCTGTCCCTGGGCCTCCCAACCCGCTGTCCTGCCTCTCCCCGCAGGCTGCTTCCATGTGCCGAGGTGCCTCGCCATGTGCGAGGAGATGCTGGGCGCCCTGCTGAGCCACCTCACCCTGGCCCCGAGTCCCGGCTCCCCTCCCGCCGTAACCCCCGCCCGCCAAGGCGCGAAATAAAACTGAGCCTGCTGCGCTGCCGGTGTGCGTTCGTCTGTGGGCTCGCGGGAGGAGGGTAGCACGGAGTCCGCTGGAGCGCACTAGCCTACGCAGACCCCGGCCCGGCCCGCCCCGCGCGCCGGGCCGCCCCACTCCTCTGATAGGCCCGCCCCGCGCCGGGGCTCGCCCGACCATTGGCGCGTCCCGCGCCCCGCCCCGCCTCGCGGACAGGCCCCACTCCCGCCCCGGCCCCCGTCCCAAGCATTGGCCCAGAGGCCGCGAGGGCGGGTTCGGCGGCGGGCATTTCCGGCCGATGGCCGGGCCTGGTGCGCGCCGCCCCTTCCGCCGCCGCCCCCGCGATTCCCGAGCCCCAGCTCCAGCCCCAGCCCCAGCCCCGGCCTGGCCGCCCCGGTGTCGCCTTGGAGAGCGGCGGCAGCTGACTGCGCGTTTACGACCCGCTGAGAACCGCGTGCCCCGCCGCCGTTATGAACATCCGCAATGCGAGGGTGAGGGACAGGGACGGGAGGCTGTCCGCGCCGCGTGGGTGCGCGGCCCCGTGGCCGCGTGCGCATGCTCCCGAGGGGCCCGGCCGAGCCCCGGGCGGGTCGCCCCACACGCCTGCGGCCTCAGGGCACAGACAGGTGAAGGCCATCGTCCCCGTGGGGCTGGACCTACCGGAACAGGGATGTCGGGGCTCAGTTGCATGGTGTCCCGGAACCTCCTGGCGCTCACGTCCATTCCTGGAACAGATGTTTTTTGCACAGCGGCTGTGCGCCAGGCCTGTGCAAAGACAGTCACAGCGCCCGCCCAGCCCTGCGGGGGTGGGGGGTCGATGAGTAGACAGGGAGCAGGGTTCTAACGTGGCTGAGGCCTACTTAGTCACCACAGCCCCTGGCCTGACTGCATTCCACTGCCTGCCTTCCCCGCAGCCGGAGGACCTAATGAACATGCAGCACTGCAATCTGCTGTGTCTGCCGGAGAACTACCAGATGAAATACTACTTCTACCATGGCCTTTCCTGGCCCCAGGTGGGCAGCTTTGGAATTTGGGGGTGGGGAAGAAAACCAGGCCAGGGAGAATCCAAGTGGGAGGAGCAGCAGTGGGGTGTGTGGAAGGAAACCAAGCCACTGGACCTAGAGGTCAGGAGCTGTCACTAAACTCGCCACTTGATCGGTTGCTGTCATGCACACAGTGACAGGCCGGCAGTGGGACCAAGTGTCTGCCAAGGGCTCCTCCAGCTCTGACAGGAAGTTATTTTCTAACTTCTTTCTCCTCCCTGTCACCTAGCTCTCTTACATCGCAGAGGATGAGAACGGGAAGATTGTGGGGTACGTCCTGGCCAAAATGTGAGTCACCAAGGAAGGAGACAGAAACCTGGTGCCTGAGTTGGGAGTGGATTGGGAGGGGGGGCACCAACACCACGTGTGTCTGGTGGATGCTGCCCTGTATCGGTTTTTCTTGGGTTTTTTTTTTTTTTTTTTTTTTTATTTATTTATTTGAGAGAGAGAGAGAATGAGAGATAGGAAGCATGAGAGGGAAGAGGGTCAGAGGGAGAAGCAGACTCCCTGCTGAGCAGGGAGCCCGATGTGGGACTCGATCCCGGGACTCCAGGATCATGACCTGAGCCGAAGGCAGTCGCTTAACCAACTGAGCCACCCAGGCGCCCCGGTTTTTCTTGTTTTAATGAATTAATCTACTGATTTTTAGTTCCGTTTTGGGTTTACAAAATCAGTGGAAAGTATTGAGTTCCCATACACCCCCTGCCCTTTGACCCCTAGTTTCGTCTATCGCTAACACCTTGGAGTACATTTGTGACAGTTGATGAAGCAGTATTGCTTCATTACTAAAGTTCATGGTTTATATTAGGGTTCACACTTTGTGTTGTATTTTCTGTGGACTTGGACACACGTATATAATAAGTATCTGCTGTTCTAGAATCAGTAGTTTCAGTGTCCTAAAAATCTTCCGTATTATTTCATTTCTTCTCCCCCCCTTCCCCACGCCAACCACCGACATATTTACTTACTGTCTGTAGTTTTGCCTTTTCTAGAATGTCATATGGTTGGAATCATACAGTAGGGGGCCTTTTCGAATTGGCTCCTTTCACTTAAGTCATGCACATTGAAAGTTCCTCCATGTCTTTTCATGGCTTGATAGCTCAGTTCTTTATAGCATGGTCAGCATTTCCATTGTGCTCCATTGACACTGCGCTTGTGTTGTGGCCGCTGCGTGGGGTTTTGAGAGTCCCAGCTTTCCCCGACCCTGGAGCCAGCAGAGGAGTTGGTGCTCCTGCTCTGCGTATGCACCGGGGGTGTGGGGTGGTGACTGCATCTGCACCAGGCTCCTTTCTAGCCTCTCCTTTCTTCTTGCTTTAGGGAAGAGGATCCGGATGATGTGCCCCATGGACATATAACCTCGCTGGTGCGTAGGACCCGCCCAGGTTCTGGCAGGGGTGGAGGTGGGTTTAGTTGGGGCAGCCCTTGAGGTCCCATCCTTCTCCCACCAGGCTGTGAAGCGTTCCCACCGACGCCTCGGCCTGGCTCAGAAGCTGATGGACCAGGCCTCCCGAGCCATGATAGAGAACTTCAATGCCAAATACGTCTCCCTGCATGTCAGGAAGAGGTGGAAGCCAGGGCTGAGGGAGGGAGGAGGGTCGGGGAGGAGATGCTGTCTTGATGTGGGTCCTGGGGTGCCCTGGCTTTTGGAGAAGATCTGGGAAGTGGGATTAGTGGGGAGGGGGGCGCTAGGAGGAGGGGCTGGACCTGGACATGCTGTCCCTGTCTGGCCAAGTCTGTGCAGCTCAGCAGTGCCTTGTTCTCCTGCAGTAACCGGGCCGCCCTGCACCTCTATTCCAACACTCTCAACTTTCAGTAAGTAGCTCGAGACTTTTCTAATGGAACGGGGTGGTCACAGATGTGGCTCATCCAGGCATCTGAGATGGGCTGAGCTGCCTTCCAGGTGGGGGGATGGGGGTGGCTGGAGGAAAGACCTGGAGTTGGCTGAGATGGGAAGCAGGCTGTGGACTCCACACATTACCAGGATGTCTTCAGTCTCGGTGGCAACAGCAGCTGCGTGTTGTGATGCAGGAGAGTGTTTGGTGTGGCTTGCTGTGTTGCCTGATGTCGGCTAGGGCTAGGTGGAGGGCACACAGGCTTCTTGGTAAAGCTTCAGGAGTAGAGGTGAGGGCCCAGGACATGAGCAGAAGCAGGGCCCAAGGTGACCTGGCACCTAGAAGCATCTAAGAGGGACCGGGAGAAAGGAGAATGTGGTGCTACAGAAACCTAAGCACGTCCAGGCAGGTAGGGCCTTCGGCAAGAGCAGTGGAGGGATCTAGAGTTCTGGGGTGTCCTGGTGGATGAGGGCAAGCCCACTTGGGGACATGGGAGTCTCTGTGTGCCTGGCACAGGACAGAGAAAGCCTGGCAGGGAAGTGATATGACAGTACATGGTGGCGAAAGCTGCTTGAAAGTGAGGCTGGGGATGGAGGGCCCACAGAGACAGCTTTAGCTTCAGTTTGGTGGGGGATGAAGAGGGACCGTTGGGACGGGCATTTAGGGAGGGATCTTTGATCTGGATGCAGATGTCTCTGGTGGCCAACAATTCTGAGGTCTTAGGGCTGCCAGGCTCTCCTAGGCTATCAAGTCCACGCCCCTTCCAAACAGTGGCAAGGTACCTGAGTCTGCACATACATTCCTCCCCACCCCCCACCCCCTCCCCGTGCAGGCTTGGCCCCTAAGCTGCTCAGAGCAGGGGGTCACATGGCCTGGCAGTGACTGTCAGGAACCAAGGCCCCAGCACCCGTCCTCCTCGGTTCCAGTTGCTAGGCGCAGGAGTCAGTCTTCCTTGTTCAGTCAGAGACACGGAACAGGGCATGGAGAGAAGGGGATGGCTAAATTCAGGGCTTCAGCTCATAATACACCACAGAAACTGATCCTTGCGAGCCAGGTTAGGGACACAGGACAGTGGCAGCCCGCAGAGGCGTAAAGGCACTGGGGGCTACTTACTGCTTAACTGCCGGAGAGCACAAAGGGAAATGGGGCTTGCTGTCTCCAAAAGGGTCCTTCAGGGGAAAGTAGATATGCTGTCCCACTGGCCGAGAATGCCAGAAGACTGAGGAGAATTTGCCCTCTGATTTGGGTCGTTCTTTTCTGCACCTCCCGCCCCCAGGATCAGCGAAGTGGAGCCCAAGTACTACGCAGATGGGGAAGATGCATACGCCATGAAGCGGGACCTCACCCAGATGGCCGATGAGGTAAGTGTCCCCAGGGGACTGGTGCCCTCACAGCCGGGGGGCCTGGCCCTCTTCATCTCCGCTCCTCAGCTGACAGGTGGGGAGCTGGGCCGTGGCAGGGCTGTGAAGGAGGCTGTCGCCCCCAAGATGTCATTCTCTGCGGCAGCCTGTACTGTCTGAGGCGTGATGGCAGAGGGGAGGGAGGAGGCCCTCGGATGTGCTGAGAACTAGGGCCCCCAGGGTTCAGGGGTGAGACACAGCTGGGCAGAGGAGAAAGGGTCCTGCCCTGGCCCTGCTGCCCCCAGCAAGTGACAGGTGCAGGCTTCCCCCATCCCCAGCGTGGGTGGCAGGAGAGGGCCCACGTGGTCTGGAGACTCAGGCCCTGTCTCCTTCCTCCTGCGTCTCCCTGGACTCCTGGCGGCAGCTGAGGCGGCACCTGGAGCTGAAGGAGAAGGGCAGGCACGTGGTGCTGGGCTCCATCGAGAACAAGGTGGAGAGCAGAGGCAACTCACTTCCAAGCTCGGGAGAGGCCTGTCGTGAGGAGAAGGGCCTGGCTGCTGAGGATAGCGGTGGGGACAGCAAGGACCTCAGCGAGGTCAGCGAGACCACAGAAAGCACCGACGTCAAGGACAGCTCAGAGGCCTCTGACTCCGCCTCCTAGAGCCTGCACTTGCTCCTCTCCCCACCCTGACATGCGCATTCTGTCCTCGCTGCCCCTCGAGGTTTCACAATAAACTTCACCCAGTGGCCTTGGGGAGTTTGTGTGTGCGAGTGTGCACATTGGTGGAGAGGGTGGGGGACTGCCTCTC